CCCCCCCCCCCAGCGCAACCAGCCGCGGTCTTTGGGACGGACCCCCGCCTCTTTCCCCCTGCCTCCGAACTCGGCTCTTTGACCCTTCGCGGCGCGAAGCAGCGTACCTAGAGGTGAGCGGGCTCTCTCCTTTCCCCGCTCAGCCCTCGCCTGGGCCGCGGTTGCGGATTCCATGCGGATTCCAAGCCCGCGGTGTCCCTTTTCCAGGCGGGGAAACCATTGGTCAGCTAGTCGGCTAGGCAGCAGCTCCTCGGGTGAAAACGAAAGTAAAGAGGCTGGGGAGGAAGGCAGATCTTGACTACCCTGCGAGGCTAGGCTTAGCGAGCGAAGAAAAGGGGCTGCTTTGAGGGCTGGCTGGAAATCCCCCTCTAAAGGGGGAGCCGATGGAATGAGCCATCCCGGGGTGGGGAGGAAAGCTGAAGCGCCCTCGGCATGTATCGCAGTCTTCCTAGCTCGTGTGTGAATGTGACTGTGACATTCAATGGAAGAAGGAGGGCACACACAAACTGTATACTGTAATGTGTAATTTTTACAGGGCCGTAGCCAGGATTTTTTACTGGGGGGGGGCATTTAAATAAATCGGGAAGGGCACCCCCGCATACCACCCCCACCCCCGGGCTGCGTCAGGAGCGACTAGAGAGTTTTTTGTTTTTTTTAAAGCAGCGACAAAGGAGAGAGGTAGCAGCGCCGGCAAGCACGGCAGGGCAGGGCGATCGCTCTGCGAGGCTGTGGCCTGCGTGAAAAATAAACCGTATGGATGGGAAGTTGGGAGGCTTGGGTGGTAAGTGGGAGGGGGGCCTGGCCCTGAGATGCCCCTCTGTAGCTACAGGTCTCTGTGTAAAGGGAATCAGTGTTGACCTTTTCTATTTTCCATGCACAAATCTACACACAACAGAATGGATTTTCTTTTATAACAGTAGCAAGGCTTATCTGACTGGGATTGAGAGCTCGGTTTCTAAAACAAGAGATGCCAGAACACAAGTGTCAATGCGATCTACCTCTTTAGCCACCAGGCATAATTTAAAAAATAGGCCCACACTTGAACTCCGGTGTTGGACTGGATGGGCCACTGGCCTGATCCAACACTGGCTTCTCTTATGTTCTTATGTTAAGACCCGTAATGGCATGGTGACGCTGACCTGAATGGCCCAAGTTAGCCTGATCTCATCAGATCCCGGAAGCTAAGCAGGGTCGGCCCTGACTAGTACTTGGATGTGAGACCAGTAAGGAATTCCAGAGGGCTCTGCAGAGGGAGGTCACTGGCAAACCACCTCGGAATGCATCTTGCCTTGAAAACCCTGGGCTCTCTCCTTTCCCCGCTCAGCCCTCGCCTGGGCCGCGGTTGCGGATTCCAAGCCCGCGGCGTCCCTTTTCCAGACGGGGAAACCATCGGTCAGCTAGTCGGCTCGGCAGCAGCAGCTCCTCGGGTGAAAACGAAAGTAAAGAGGCTGGGGAGGAAGGCGGATCTTGACTACGCTGCGAGGCTAGGCTTAGCGAGCGAAGAAAAGGGGCTGCTTTGAGGGCTGGCTGGAAATCCCCCTCTAAAGGGGGAGCCGATGGAATGAGCCATCCCGGGGTGGGGAGGAAAGCTGAAGCGCCATCGGTATGTATAGCAGTCTTCCTGTAATCGAGCACTACATTGAGGAACAGAAGAGAACTCATAGCTCATGTGCGAATGTGACTGTGACATTAAATGGAAGGAGGAGAGCACACACAATCTGTATACTGTAATGTGTAATTTTTACAGGGCCGTAGCCAGGATTTTTTACTTGGGGGGGCGCAACCCCGCATACCACCCCCACCCCCGGGCTGCGTTAAGAGCGACTAGAGAGTATTAAAAAAAAAAAAGCGACAAAGGAGAGAGGCAGCGGCGCAGGCAGGGCAGGGCAGGGCAGGGCGATCGCTCGGCGAGGCTGTGGCCTGCGTGAAAAATAAAATAAACCGGATGGGTAAGTGGGAGGGGGGCCTGGCCCTGAGATGCCCCTCTGTAGCTACAGGTCTCTGTGTAAAGGGAATCAGTGTTGACCTTTTCTATTTTCCATGCACAAATCTACACACAACAGAATGGATTTTCACATAAGCCATTCCAAATGTTTCAGATTTCCACTTAAGATATAATTGGGTGGATCCACATGCTCCAAGGAGCCGTCCTACAATTTCACTGTCTCTTTCTCCAAAAGAAGAAAGTTGCAAGAAGTCTCCTTAGATTGCAGAAAGACTTCAAACTTGAGGCAAAAGAAAAAGTGTGATATAAAAATAGAAATAAATAATAGAATGGTAGGATCCTCCCATTAGATGATGTACCAACCTTGTTTGTGGAGGAGGGAGTAAATTCTCTCACCATATAGTTGCCACTTTGTGTGTATATTATTGGAGGTGACCTCCTCTGGCCAGGGGCACATTGGAAAATTCCATGGCAGGCATCTGCTTTGTGGCAGGCATCCCAGCTATGTCCATCCGTGGGTAGCATGAGGTGCAAGGCCCGCCCAAACACACATAGCAGTGAACCCTGAGTTCCAAAGGCACAGATACATAGACATTTGAGCAATGCTTCATAAGCACAATACAGACAATAACAGAAAGACAAGCCCACATGGTAACACATGACACCTAGGGAAATCCCAGACACTACAACACCCTCCTGCACATCTGTATAGATAAGCATTTCGGCGCACAGCAGAGACAGCACAGAAAGGAATGCAGTAGCAATTAACCTGAAAGGAAAGCAATAGCAATTAACCAGATACAGACCAAACTCCCCAACCTTCATGGCGGCATAGCTGACACGCTGACGGCCATAACTTTTTAAAGAGCCCCTAATGGAGTCCAAGGCCACCACCCCGGGGCTCAGGGATGTGAGGGATCGTCCCCCCCCCCACGGCCGCTGCAGCTACCGCTGAACGAGGTGGCGGCCATAACTTTTTAAAGAGCCCCTAACGAGGGCTGGGGGAACCAGAATGACCTCTCACGTCATCACACGTGTCCGTTTCAGCTGCCGCCGCTGGCCATAACTTTTTAAAGAGCCCTTAACGGAGTCCAAGGCCACCACCCCAAGGCTCAGGGTTGCGAGGAAACGTTTTGCCCCCCCACGGCCGCTGCAGCTGCCATCGAATGCGGCGGCCATAACTTTTTAAAGAGCCTAACGAGGCCTGGGGGAGCCAGAATAACCTTTGCGTTATCACAAGTGGCCGTTGCAGCTGCCGCCGACAGAGGCGGCGGCCATAACTTTTTAAAGAGCCCCTAACAAGGGCTGGGGGAGCCAGAATGACATCTGTGTCATCATATGTGGCCGTTGCAGCAGCTGCCTACAGCAGCAGCGGCCATAACTTTTTAGAGCCCCTAATGAGAGCTGGGGGAGCCAGAATGACCATCACACCCGAGAGGTGGAATTTGCCCCTAGGAGTCCAAGGCCACCACCCCGAGGCTCAGGGAGGCGGGGGAATGTTTCAACCCCACCCCCACCCCCGTGGCCATTGCAGCTGCCACCGACAGCAGTGTAGAATATAATGCCAGGTACCAGAGATATAAACTTTATAAAGGATGCAGGCAAACCCACTTAATGATATTATTTTTTTACTCAAAATACAAACATGCATAAAATATTAACACTCTTAAGTATTTCATCTGTTTAACAGTCTTTGATGATTGACATCTAGTCCAACTCCCTGCACAATGCAGGAAATTCACAACTACCTCTGGCAGAACTGGCAAAAAACCCTCCAGGATCACTGGGGGCCAAACTGGCCTGGAGAAAAATTGCTTCCTGACCCCAAAGTGGCAATCAGCATTTCCCTGAGTGTATAAGAAAGGCCCATGAGAACTAAGCACTGATGCAACCCTTGCTGTCCTGTCTCTTGGGATCTGCCTAAGTTCACAGAATCAACATTACTGTCTGATGGCCATTTAGCCTCTGTTTGAAAACCTCCACAGAAGGAGAGCCCACCACCTCCCAAGGAAGCCTGTTCCACTGAGGAACCATTCTAAGGTTTAGCCAAAAACACTTCTGATTTAATTTCAACCTTTTGGTTCTGGTTCAACATTCTGGTGCAACAGAAAACAATTCTGCACCATCCTCTATATGACAGCCCTTCAAGTACTTGTAGATGGTTATCATATCATCTCTCAGTCATCTCCAGGCTAAACACACCCAGCTCCCTCAACCTTTCCTCATAGGCCTTGGTCTCCAGCCTGTCCTGGAACAAGGTAATCTTGCCCATGATGCTTTAGTAACATCTAGATTAGATCACTGCAATGCATTTTGTTTGAGGTCATAAAAATGACTGGAATCTGTCACTGGTTCAGAACATGGCAGCCAGGCTAGTAACACAGTTCTGCTGTACTTATCTAGGGTTTCTGTCCTCCAGCTGGTGCTTGGAGATCTCCTGGTGTTTCAACAGATCTCCAGAGTACAAAGATCAGTTCCCCTGGAGAAAATGGGAGCTTCAGAGGGCAGACTGCGTGGTATACCGTGGATTCTGGTTGAAATCCCTTCCAAACTCTCCCCTCCACAGGCATCACACCCAAATCTCCTGGAATTTCCCAAGCCAGAATTGGCAACCCTATATTTCTCCATTATTGAAAGAACTTCACTGGCTTCCAGTTTGTTTCTGGTCACAATTCAGAGAGCTAATTTTAACATAAAATGCTCTAAATGGCCTGGAATCACTTACCCCCCTATGAAGCCTGCCCATTTTCTCAGGACATATTCAATGGCTTTGCTCCAAGTGCCTCCCTCTTTGGAAGTTAAGTGGTTGGCTACCTGGAATGGACAGGGTGTTTTTTTGATGCATCCACCATACTATGGAATGCCCTTCCCAAACTTATTTGCCTGGTGCTAAATTTAGTACCATTTAACTATTAGGTAAAAACTGTTGTATATGGTAAAACCTTTGCCAGAATTGACTTATGATGGCTTATAGAGCCTTATCTGCTTTACAGTGCCATCCTAACAGACTGGGGAGACCCAGGTTCAAATACTTGCTTGCTGTAAAGCTTACTGACTGACCTTAAGCCAGGCATTCTCTTTCAGCCTAACTTACTTCACCACTTCTTCTCAATATCAAATGGAGGCGGGGCAAATAATGTATGCTGCTCTGAGCTCCTTGGGGGATGGCTAAGTGGTAAGATTACACCAGATAAAGAAATCTGTTAATTGTGTGAATTTATTTATTAT